CAAGAAAAAGAAGAAAATTAATAGACAAGCTGAGTAAACAAATTATGATTATGAAAATAAGGTAGGCAGTTAAAAAAAAAATCTTTTCTGTGTCCTTCCACCCAAATACTGCCAAGTCCAATCTGATTTTCCAAGTTTTAGTGAATTTTTAAGGAATAGATCATCTCTTATTTTTTTTTTTTTCTGAGATGGGTCTCGCTATGTTGCCTCCGCTGTAGTGCAGTGGCTATACACAGGCGTGATGGCAGCACCCTACAGTCTCTAACTCCTGGGCTCAAGTGGTCCTTCTGCTTCACCTCCTAAGTAGCTGGGACTACAGGGACATGCCACCTCACTTGGCATGATACCTATTTTACAGAATCTGTTACTATAGAAAAATAGCTCTCCTACTCACTTTTTTCTTTTAAAATTGTATAACATTATTAGCAAAACTGGAGGAGAATACAAATTTTAAAAAGGGAGAAGAAAAAAACAAAAGTATAGCTTTGTCTCACTAATGAACATTCATTTTTGTTTTTTAGAAATAAATGCCTATTATGAGAAAACATGGAAACCAGAAGAAATTGTAGAGACCATATTATTTAAATAAATAGCATATTATATAGGGTTTATTCTAAGAATAGAAGGAAGTTTAGCATTCTAAATCTGCCAGTTTAAGAAATTAATAAAGGAAGGCCCAGAGCAGTGGCTCACGCCTGCATTCCTAGTACTTTAGGAGGCCGAGGCAGGTGGGTCACTTGATGTCAGAAGTTCAAGGCCAGCCTGGCCAATGGCAGGAACCCTTGTCTTCTACTGAAAATACAAAAATTAGCCAGACATGGTGGCATGCACCTGTAGTCCCAACTACTTGGGAAACTGAGGCAGAAGAATCACTTGAACCTGGGAAGTGGAGGTTGTAATGAGCTTAGATCAAGGCACTGCACTCCAGCCTGGGTGACAGAGTGAGACTCCATCTCAAAAATAAAATATAAAATAAAAAGATTAATAAAAAATGTGATCATCTCCAAAGATAATGAGAAAGCATTTAACAAAATGTAACACTCTTTCATCATAAACACTTAACAATGAGAAGAGAACTTCATAAGGAGTAGCTACAGTGAGTATAACACTTAATGGTGCCATTTTGGAAGGATTCCCATAGAGGTGGAAGGAAGACAAGTGTGGTGTGAAACTACTCCTATTCAAACATCACAGAGTTTGGCCAATACCATGAGATAGGAACAGACAGTGAGAAGAGCAAGGATTCAACAGGAAAAGATGATTATTTTTGAAAATAACGTAATTGTCAAGGTAAAAGTTCATGAGAATCTATAAACAATTACATCAAATAAGAATTGGAATTAGTGGGCATAGGCCAGGCGCGGTGGTTCACACCTGTAATCCCATCACTTTGGGAGGCCGAGGAGGGTGGATCATGAGGTCAGGAGATGGAGACCATCCTGGCTAACACAGTAAAATCCCGTCTCTACTGAAAATACAAAAAATTAGCTGGGTGTGGTGGCACGTGCCTATAGTTTCAGCTACTTGGGAGGCTGAGGCAGAAGAATTGCTTGAACCTGGGTGGCAGAGATTGCGGTGAGCTGAGATTGAATCATTGCATTCCAGCCTTGGCGACAGAGCAAGGCTCCGTCAAAAAAAAAAAAAAAAAAAGAATTGGAATTAGTGGGCATAAGAGTACCATACAAAAATTCATGGCATTTTTGTACACTAGCAATTACCTATCTGAAATCAAGATATTATAGAAAAGCTAGACATCACAACAGTACAACAGATTCTAAATCCAAGAGTAAATATTCCAGATGTATATGATAAAAATTTTGTAATGTCATTAAGTACATAAAACAATATCCATTTTAAAAAGAGGCAGCTTTATAGTGTACTATGTTTATGTTTTGTGATGATTCAATATACTAAAATGTTCATATAAACTCTCCTAAAAGGATAGTTTTCTAAATTACTGAAAAATGTAATGTCAAGCAAACCCTAATGAATATTTTGTAGAGCACTGTAAAATTCATATCAATGAATGAAAATAGTCAAGATGATTCTCAAAAAAGAAAAAAAGAAAAAGGAAAAGAAAGAAGAGAGTGATGGGCCATGACTTACCACTATATATGAAGACATATGAACCTACAGTAATTAAAACAGTGTGGCATTTGGTCTAGGCATAATCAGCAGGTGAGTAGAACAGAGTTAGGCATTTTTGGAGTTTTCTGGGAGCCTCTTTGCTGACATATTCTAATTGCCTATAGATAGCTCTTCACTGGATGCTTTAACTCTGTATCCCTGGGAATAAGGTGGGTAGAGAGGGTGAATAATGCTAAAATATTTCTCTGATTCTAAACTCAACTCACACTGTTTGCTATGGGAATCTGGTTGACTCAAGTTGGTGTGTGTTTTCAATGCAGAGAATGGAGACTTCATCTCCATACATGGTGTTGGGGTGCTGAAGCAAGAAGAAGAGAGAAGCATCCCTGAAGGACCAGAGAAGTGGTAATTGCGTGGGCGTGTAGTGTGATATGGGGAGAGTACCATAAAAAAAAGAGACAGGTATATACTGTACTATATTTATGTGCAGTACTATTATTGGCAGAGAGAAAAGTGGAAATCTCACTGATCATGTGAAATGCAAGGTTTTGTTTTTACATGTTGTTAAATTAATTCCTTAGAGTTACCAAGAGATAATATTTGTAATGTAAAGAAGGGACCCTGGAGCTAACCTGCCTAGGTCAGAAAGCTCTCTGTCATGTATTAGGCGTAGGACATTGGACAAGTTATTTTAAGCCTCACTTGGTATATACTCATGGGTAAAAGTGGGATAACAGGCCGGGCGTGGTGGCTCACACCTGTAATCCCAGCACTTTGGGAGGCCGAGGCGGGCGGATCACAAGTCAGGAGTTCCAGACCAGCCTGACCAACATGGTGAAACCCTGTCTCTACTAAAAATGCAGAAATTAGCAGGGCATGGTGGAGCGCACCTGTAATCCCAGCCATTCAGGAGGCTGAGGCAGGAGAATCGCTTGAACCCGGGAGGTGGAGGTTGCAATGAGGTGAGATCGCACCACTGCACTCCAGACTGGGCAACAGAGGGAGACTCCATCTCAAAAAAAAAAAAAAAAAAAGTGGGATAACAGTGCACAGATATGTTTTGGGGCTGACATTAGTATCTGGAAATCACTTAGAAATGTATGTGTAAAAAATAAAAAGAAATAAAAATAACTCGTAAGGGTTGTCAGCTATGTGCACCAACGGCTGCATTGTCTTTCTTGCTCCTGAAGTGCTTCTGCCTTCGTGGGCACCTTCCTTTATTAAAGTCATATGAAGATTAATATATAACGTGTTCTTCGACTTAAATGTTCATTTTTTCCCTTCTGACTTTAGAAGAAATTAAAATATTTTCATAAGCCCCCAAAAGAACTTTGGGCCCTAGACACCGTGCCTGCTGTTTAATGGAGGACGGCACTAACTGTACCTGAAGATGATTTTTTTTTTAAAAAAACATTCAATTAGGAAATAATTATTCGCACACATTCATATACATACATACACCGAATCCTCACACGAAGAGCCCTACAGGCGTGAGAACATTAAGGGAGGTGCAAGAAACGTCTCCTTGGAGATGGGAGGCATATTTTCAGCTACTAGAGAAGGGGGGAAGTGCCAGCTCTCTGAGAAGAAAGCAGGAGGATGCTGAGACTGAAGCTGAAATTTTCTTCCTGCTTCCTCACTCTTCTCGTTGGTTTCAGCAGTCTGGAAAACTCTTGTGAGAGGAGCAAAAAGATCAAGGGAAGATTATTGCCTGGCTTCTCAGTCTTCAAAATTTCCGGTCCTCTGTTTTTTTGTTTTGAGACGCAGTCTCGCTCTGTCGCCAGGCTGGAGTGCAGTGGCGCGATCTCGGTCATTGCAACCTCCGCCTCCCGGGTTCTAGCGAATTCTTCTGCCTCAGCCTCCTGAGTAGCTGGGACTACAGGCGCGTGCCACCATACCCAGCTAATTTTTTGTACACCTGGTAGGGACGGGATCTCACCGCGTAAGCCAGGATGGTCTCTATCTCCTGACCACGTCATCCGCCCGCCTCAGCCTCCCAAAGTGCTGGGATTACAGGCGTGAGCCACTGCGATGGCCGGTCCTCTGTTTTTAAACTGTCCACCGGATTGTTCGAAGTCTCCGATGTCCGGCGATCTGGTGGCCGCAGAAGAAAGAGGTCCACTCGCCGGGGACTGGGAACCACCAGCTAGCTGCCTACGGAGAAACGTCCCGGACGCGCGCCGGACGGACGTTAAACGTTCGTGACGCCATATGCGGGAGCCGGATGGGCGTAACGTGGCAGCGGCTTAAAGTGTGGCTCTGTCGTCAGGGCACGGAGGGGCGTGGCCGGACGGCCCTATGAGGGGGCGGGCGTTTGTGGCAAAGGTTGATGGGATGACCTTATGAGGGAGCCTGCATGGAAGGGCACGATGGGCCCCAAGACTCTTTTTCATGCCCGCATAGCCGTACCGAGAGTAGGATGACCGCTGCCATTTTTCAGGACCTTTCATCTTCGGCTTGAAGTTCTGTGCGATTTTCCGGCTTTGTGTGGCTATTTAGTATTAACATTTTAGGGCAGTTTCATTTCCTTTAAAGTAAAGCTCTCCAGATATGGTCTCCGGACCAGCAGCATCAGCATCACCTGGATAATTTAGAAGTACAAATTATCAGGTCTTACCTCAGATCGAATGCATTAGAAAAGTTTTGTGACTGCTTCAAAACATTGTTTCCCTTAATTCAGATGCTAGAGGAGACCTTTCAAATGGCAGCTTAGCATAAGCTAATATGTTTTTAACTTCAAGTTCATTACCAAAGCCAAATCAGTGCTTAGGCCTTACCCACTCAGAACTTGATGCCGGAAAGTAAAGTGAAAACAGGTAGATAGGTAGGTAGGTAGGTAGGTAGGTATATAGATAGATGTCTATAAAGGGGAGGTCTTAGAAGAAGGGTTTGGATCAACAATGAAGGCAGAATTTACAATTCTCCGCAGATTTTATTAATAATAACTTTTCTTTTCAGACTTCTTGCCATCTTCTCATTCAGATTTTTCTTAGCAAAGGTAGTCCATGGCAAGTAATGAATTACCTATGTCTGTAACGGAAGTAAATTCTATTTTTATGTTTATAAACTCAAAAAGTAACATGAAGTGCAAACATCTTGTTTAGTTTCTTCCCCTCGGTAACCTTCATTTGATGAACCAGTGTGTAGCAAACCAGTATGAGTTGGATTTGGGTGGGATCCACACAGTCATTTTCAGGCAGACGAGACTTCCTAAGTTCTATGGATAGATTCATATTGCCAGTTATTTTATGCGTTCATTTCTCCTCTGCCTTCATGTCTCTCCCCTGATTGAAGAAATAAGAAGGGTTTAGTTATTAGGTGCCATTTTGCCATCACCATTAATATTTTCTATATAAAGAGGATTCTTTTTACATGTGCTTCTATGATGAACTATAGGAATTTCTACTTCAGTTCTAGCTACACTTTAGTAGCATTAACACATAATAAGTCATGCTTAGTCAAGAAATATCACTGAATAATGTGATCTTTGTTTCAACTTCCCCAACTACTCTTCTTGGGTGGGATTCAAATAGTTCAAAAGCTCATATTCTCTCCCTTTCATTTTTGACCTGAAAATGTTTGAACACTCTAATTTGCATTTTAACTCAGTGAAAAGGAAAATATAATAACTGTTAAATTTTGCTAAGTGCTTACTAAAAGTCCATCACTGTTTTAAGAGCTTTACATGAACTATCTTAAAATAACTTTAAGAAGTGATCTACTATTATTATCCTCTTTGTATAGATGAGGAAAGTGAAACCCAGAAAATCTGAGTCACTCATTCAGTTGAACCGTTGTGACAACTCAGTAGTGGCCTCTATTCCTGTAGTTATAGATATTTGTGCACTTCAATTATGTTAGAAATTATGTCATGCTGCAAATACTTTTTGAGAGTCTGCCATGTGCCTGGAACAGCCTTAGGCATCAGGAAACCAGCAGCAAAACAGGTGAACTCCCTGTTTTTATGGACCTTACGGTCTTCAGGATTGGAAGGGGAGGCAAACAATAAACAAATTTAAGATAGTGCTAAGTATAATGAGGAATGCATACAGCAAGTTAAGAATGAGGATAGAAGGGTGCCATTTTACATTTGATGGTCAGAGAAAACCTCTCAGATGTGGTGACATTTTCGTCAATCTGCTTAATCCAAAACCCAAGAAATGTGAGAAATATTTCAGTTATTTGACAGGTATTACACACAACTGAGACACCAAGTATATGACAAGGCCTATGTACTTATGTCCCCTTTTGGTTTTCTCTCTGTCTTTCTACCATATTTTGCTTTTGGTTTCTCTTAGGTCTCCAAGCTCTTTCCCGCCCCACCTTTTCTTTTTCTTTTTCTTTTTTTTGAGACAGCCTCTGCCGCCCAGGCTGGAGTGCAGTGGCTCCCTCTTGGCTTACTGCAACCTGCGCCTCCTGGGTTCAAGGGATTCTTTTGCCTCAGCCTCCCATGTACAGCTGGGACTACAGGCGCATGCCAGCAGGCCTGGCTAATTTTTGTATTTTTAGTAGAGACAGGGTTTCACCATATTGGCCAGACTGGTCTGGAACTTCTGACCTCGTGATCTGCCTGCTTCGGTCTTCGAAATTGCTGTGAGCCACTGCAGCTGGCCCCTCCCTTTTTTAGTAGGAGTTTGCTTCTTCCGTTCCTTTTCTGAGTCCTTCTCAACTTCTCTCACCTTTTTTCTCATGCTGTCCCCAATTTCCTAGAAAGTAATTGTAACTTGGCTATAATATTTATAAAATATTGTTTTGTATTTATAAATAATATTTTGACATTTTAAAACAGAGTATTTTATTACTCAAAAATTAGAATAAATATGTTTGCCTTGATGCAATTAATTTGGTAGTTCCTGTATGAGCCCAACTTCATTTGACTTTGCTGAAGATTTCCAGAGTATCAGACACACTTCTTTAGGCTTTAGTGAAAGACAAAGGTAAATGAAAACAATTAGCTGTAAGTCTCCTTAACTGAGCATTCCAGGAGGTCAAGGACCACCATCTCTCTCTGTGTATCTGCAGTGCCCAAGCCAGTACCTAGGAGTTTTGCATACTTCATGAATTTCCTTACAAATCCTTCATGACTAATTTCTTCTATTTGGTTTCTTTTTTTTATACCTCTCTCTGCTGAGTTAATCTTACTAATCTTACACTTGGAACTTTTTTTTACTATTAATCATTAATCTTAAGTTTTATATATTAAATTATTAACTTAGTTTTAACTTCGTGTGCAATTTAAATTTCATTAATTTGTTTTTTCCATTTTAAAAAATTTTTCATACTCTACAGTATTTTCTAGGATTTAAAATTTTTATTGTATTAATTTCTCTGCTTCAGTTTGTTGTTTTCTTTAAAAAGGCCCAATCTGTTTGTTGGACATTCTAACAATCAGACACTAGAGAATTGCTTTACAGACTGCAGTTTAAGATTTATCAGATGAATTAATACATTCAATGCATATTTTTTAAAAAGTACCTGTTATGTGCTGGGATAATGTTTTATATAACCTGTAGAGGCACTACTTTGTTCTTTACAATATCAGGGAAAAGTCCATCAGGATAATATGAAGGGATTTTATCGGGCTTTGTCTCTGTGGATAGTGGTCAATTTTAGTCTGAATTGTCGAAATTCTTAAAGGTTCTGCCATTTATAAAGGTATCAGAGCCAGGTGATTGTACATTTGATTTCTATGTAGTCTTTAAAGCACAAATGCTTTTTACATCCAAGCATTTCAAATATAAAAAAGGTATAGTGGTTTTAAATTATGTCAGTAAACTTTTTTACATTTTTTTGCCTTATCAAATTTTTATTTTTACTTATTTATTTATTTATTTACTTATTATTTTTAAAAAACAGAGTTTTGCTCTTGTTGCCCAGGCTGGAGTGCAATGGTGTGATCTTGGCTCACCACAACCTTCGCCTCCTGGGTTCAAGCGACTCTCCTACCTCAGCCTCCTGAGTAGCTGGGATTACAGGCATGCGCCACCACACCCGGCTAATTTTGTATTTTTAATAGAGACAGGGTTTCTCCATGTTGGCCAGGGTGGTCTTGAACTCCCGACCTCAGGTGATCTGCCCGCCTCAACCTCCCAAAGTGCTGGGATTACAGGCGTGAGCCACTGGGCCCGGCCCAAGTTTTTATTTTTATACACTTTTTTTATATATATATATATATTAAAAAGGAAAGCACAATTACCACAAATTACAAAGGACTAAAGCAGGACTAGAATAATAAATGAATCAATTCAGCCTGGAAAGCAGATACCTTCAGTAATATTAATGTTACAATACAAGCTCATTCAAGTATTTTACGTTGCCTTTTTTTTTTTTTTTGTCCTTTTAAATACGATACCCTAGCCCATAGTAAAGATGATATACTATGAGCGTAAGGTGGAACCTTCTCTACGAAGCCAGATGACAAGTTTTTGTCTCCAGTGAGAAATGGCTCTGAGTTCTTATCTTTTCTACCATCAACATGCCTGAAGGGGGATAGGGTCCAGGCTGGGGAAAATCCAAGGACCCTTCAACATGGGAGGATTCCATTCTGGAGGGTACCAGATAATTCAGATTACTCTACCTAGCCTTTTTTGACAAAATCAACCCTCACCCTCCATAGTCATCTTCCTTTGCTCTTCTCCTCACTTCCAGGGCCTTCTAAGCAGCTTACTTACTTTTGTAAAATCAATCACCAGGAAAAGGATTGATAGAACAACACAAAAATATTTAGCAACTTTGACATAGGGGCTTAGCACCTCTATCTGAGCCTCAGGGGTCTAAGCTGGGGGAGGGCCATCCAGCCCTGGGAGTGCATTTGTTCCCAGGTACAAGAGCGGGTGAAAGAGAAACCTGCCCCTTAACAGGGCTGAGACACACAGACCTTCTGATGTTCGATGCTCAAAGGTTGTGTTGGCATGGACAAACCTTGAAAGAGATATGATGAAAAGAGGGATCTGGGCAGGCTGTTGCTTTGTTTCTCAGGTCTTGGATCCCCATGGGAGGATGGTAGGTATGAAGTAGCTAGCCCTGATGGTCCCCGCCACTTCTGGCATGCTTGTCACAGATCCATTGGTCCTAAATTCAAGTGTCTTCAGAAGTTGAAGATGTAAACTACTCTTTGCAACATTAACTCCTATCATGTTACAAAAAAAAAAAAAAAAAAAAAAAAAAGAAAAGAAAGAGAAAACAAAAAGAAAAAAAGAAAGAAAATAATGTAAAGAAAAGCAAAAAAGAGGTCGGATGCGGTGGCTCACACCTGTAATCCCAGCACTTTGGGAGGGTGAGGCAGGCAGATCACCTGAGGTCAGGAGTTCGAAACCAGCCTGGTCAACATGGTGAAACCCTGTCTCTACTAAAAATACAAAAATTAGCCAGACATGGTGGTGCATGACTGTAGTCCCAGTTACTCAGGGAGGCTAAGGCAGGAGAATGGCTTGAACCCAGGAGGCAGAGGTTGCAGTGAGCTGAGATTGAACAATTGCACTTTAGCCTGGGTGACAGAGCAAGACTCTGTATAAAAAAAAAAAAAAAAAGCCCCCTCTGCTCATACCAACCACCAATCTATGTTGAGATGAAGTCCTTACCTCCCTGCCCCAAAGGGGCTTCTTCTTTGAGGAATGTGTGTGAAGAAGATGGCAGCTCCCTGACCTGGGAGTAAACCCCAGATAAGAAGAGCCTTTCCCCACATCCCAAGGTTTCTTTGTGCCCCCAGATGCAGCAGAGGAAAAAGAATGAAGTTTCTGTGGTGCTGGATATAGTACATGACTGCATGACCTGAAGGAAAGGAGGAATAAAGGGAAAGAGGAGGGGATCCAGGAGCCCAGTATCTGGTACGATGTGAAGCAGGCAACAGACTGAGCAGGGAAATGCCTCAGATTCCACTGTCATAGCAGAGACCATGGTTTGAGACATGGGTCATAGGAACTGAAATGGGCTTCCCACATACCAACCACTGAGAGGTCAAAGGCAGGGAAGGGCCCAGGCTAAAAGCAATGAGATGTCCAAGGTAACAGACAAGCCTGTGATACTGTTACAGGCTGTGATTTGTCAGCCTGTGATACTGTCTCCTACTCCCAGCCTTTGGGCTCAACAGAGTAATCAGTTGAAAAGGAGGGTCAAAGACATTGAGTCAGTGAGCAACAGGACAACCAACTCCTCTGTGTTGCCCAGATCCCACCGAGAGTGAACATGTAGTTATCCCTGTACCCGACACACATCCCAGTCTTTGTGGGTCAGTCCTTCATCACACTCCCTAGCTTCTGATGACAGCAGACTTCAGCCATTCCAC